ATATATATATATATATATATATATATATATATTGCTGATAATGTAAATATTATCGGCGTGAGAGATATTTAAAAACATTAGAACATTTTCCTAGTTTTTGAAAAATCAAAAGAATACATGAAAGCGGCATTTGTGTCATATTATTCAAACCATCAAGCACTATCTGTTCAAAAAGTTTTAAGAACTAATTTCGAACCATTTTTGAGAAAATGACATTTTATCGTTACTGAAAATGCAAAATTTCCAACTCATTTTCACAGAAAAATAAAGTTTCGATTTTTGTATGACATCATTTAAATAACTTGTACTCACAATTGTAATAAAGTATTAAAAATGTATGATGTAAATATAAACGACGTGAGAGAGATGACAAAACATTTCATTTAACAACAACGACAAAAGAATTCAGCAAAATGGCGTTCATGTCATCTTTAGAGTACATTTAGTTTTGTACCTTATAAAAGTACGTTACAAAAGAAACTAGTGGATCTAAAACAGCACATACTTTCTCGATGTATTTTAAGTGTTGCGCCATATTACACATGCAACATACAAATGCAATTTTTCTTCAGTCAGCAAATTTTGTTTCAACAACGAGACTGATATTTATATTCTTCGAGTTAACTCGCCGTTGGCCATATCTTAACGCGAGAGAAGAAGGGTAAAATTTGAAATCGGGCCAAAAACCATCATTTTTATATTGGTGCTTTTAAAATGGCATAATTTTTTAATGTAATTAAAAATTTAAATAATTTCAAGTAAACATTGTCTTCGGATAGCGTAAGTGTCGCTTAAGAAAATGTGGTATTTTCGTTGAAATTCATAATTTTTCAAAAATCGCAGAAAATGTGAATTTTCAAAATTACCAAATTGAAGATATTTTTGCCCTAAACAAATCGGTTTTTAAAATTTGCTTCTTAAAAAATATCATGTACAATCTTTTGAAATGCCGAGTGGTTTTGGCGTACTTTAAGCTTTCAATTAATGCGATTTATAAAAACACATTTTCTCAAAAACTACTACATTTTTCTTAACAATGTTTCTCGCGGATAAAACAAGGAGCGTTTAAAAGAATGGAGCAGGTGTCATTTTCGTCAAACTCCTTGAATTTTCGAGCATTTTAAATTTTCAAACAAAGCGAGAAAGTATGTCAGTTGTCGAGACACTAGTTTTAATTGCGTTAGTTACGTGTTTTTTATAGTCGTTACTGTGGATTTTCTGCAGAAAATGTGACAAATGTTTCGGTTGGCAGCACGATGGTACGAGGCACCGCGACAAGGCGCCACGCAGTGGCTTCGAACGTTCACTCGGCGGCAGCGCAAGAGGCCCGCAGTGGCACGAAATGGAGGAGCTCCGAGGTGAAGATATGGCAAGAACATTGGCAGAGAAACTGGTCTCTCTGTCAGATCACACGCCAAATTCTAACGAAGGCGAAAATGCACGACCCGACACAATCGTTCCTATTTGAAGGCAGAGAGAAACTTGGGGTACTAACACGTAGAACGCTGGTATGCCGACGCCTGCATTGAGGAGCGAACACACAGAATACCGATTCGACAGTATCGAGATATAGCGATTATTCCTAGTACTCCACTTCTACGTGCGTGGGAGATAGAGACCATGCATTTATCGAAATCATTTCCAACTATATCCAAGAAAAAAATGAACTGTTTCTATGAAAAACAGTAAATCAAAATATGTAACAAGGGAATAGGATTGCTACCGAATGCGCTTTTGAATCATTGTACTCAAAATAGATAATATTAACCTAAAGAACAGACATGTCTATTTACGAGAATTATAAAGTGAGTGTTTGATTCACAAAACACTGTTATTGGAGGATAAGGATTTGATGGTCTTCCTAATATCTAAATCAATCGAATTAACATAAAGTTACAAGGCAATGTAGAGGATGACAGTCTAATACATCAATAATGGGAGAGATTTAGCTTAAATTTGTCTATAATTACCCAATTGTGTACTCTAACATAAATTGATAAATGCTTCTGACAATATTTTTGTTTAGTTTATTTTGATTTGAATCACTAATGCTTCACTGATTGTAACCTTTAACATTAAACAAATAGTATATTTGATGTTATGAAGATGTTTACTTGTTCATATACGAAGAAATTTAATTCCAGATATTCACGAAGTTAAGTTGACATTTTTTTAATAAAGCCTCAACTTCAAATCCTCTCCTGTAAAATTTACCTCAATGCAGTTAGAACCCTTTTATTTCAAGATGACGAAATGCTAGATGGAATAAAGTAGTTAAATGAGAAAGTTATCGGTATATTCACGGCCAAAAAACAAATAAATTAATACGAGCACAACTATTAGTTAATCCAAAATGCAATATACGGTACGGATGTCTTCTCCAAAAATATAGAGCAAAGTAGTATTGTAAACGTAAAAACACGTCTTAAAGATAATGTCGAACAGTCATAAATCATTTTAACGCAGGACCAAAGCGCCGATATATGATGCGTCATGCTTTATTCCACTTCTCGAAAGAAGTGCTATTAATTAATTAATTAATTAATTAATTAATTAATTAATTAATTAATTAATTAATAATTAATGTATTTATTTAATGTCAAAAACAGTTAAAACTGTGTTTGACATATTACGGGGAGAAGAGTATTCTATGCACGATTTCTAAAAATCTGATATCCCTAACCTAACCATATAGAAGTTGAATTCTGAATACAGATGTAAATGAGAATTTTTGGCAAGAATTGATAAAAAAAAATCGCTCCAGTGTAATAAAAGGTTTTGCAAAGGCTACTTGTGATAGCGGAAGCATGTACATCCATATTACATTCAGAAGGGTGAATAATACGTCTTCATTTCTTCATTAAATGTTTGTAGAAACCAAAGACTAAGCACCGCTCGACATTTTTTTTTTTAATTTCTGGAACAAAAATTGGATGGAAAATGTACCAAGTAAAATGACTTAATGGAACGTTTATAGGTACAATTCAGAAACATGTTTATGAAAAAGCAAATCTTCAAATGAATGAAGCAACTATACTATTTGCAACTATACTATAGGCTATTTGCAACTAGCCTATTTCTTTTCCAGAAAAAAATATTAAGGATCTCTTCAAAAATATTAATTTGCTTAAGAGTTGCGGAAATATGACAGAAATATGGTGAAATAAATATGATAAGGAATTTTATTGTCGAATGTCGTTTTATTAAAATTCATTTTGTTTCTAAGGCCTCCAAAATGCCATCACACAAAATAAGAAATTTTAAGTCCTACTTTAGAAATAAATTATTTTTCTTGGTTTCCCCAACATTGCAGTCGAATTTTAAGGTTTCATGTACAACACACGTCCCTTATTTCTCCCGCTTATTTAATATACTTATGTACATTATTTTCTTGATTATTTATTAGTATTTATTTTACAAGAGAACGAATTATCATTGCCTTTGTTCCCGCTTTTAATATAATTGTGAAGTGAATAATTAGACATTTCTTTATTATTGTTGAAAATATTCCCTGTAGAGTTACAACGACACTGACTTCCTGTCAACAAACTTATTGCGCACATGACGACTAAATATAGCAGAAGGCTGCAGCGAGAACATTCTATGCGAGAGTGAGGTATAAACTCAGAGTAATAGAACATAGACTCTCCGTCTGGTGGTTCTGGGAAGGTATGCGGAGGCAAACCATGATATTCCTCATCCGAATTCATTGGCCGTTTTACGAATATTCAGGAAACTGAACCACGAAGTATCTGGACATGGTCGACTCTCTCCGGGAGAGATTAGAAATATGATATTCTTAATGAACAAAAAGACCATATATCACTTTGCAAATACTAATTTGTCTTTCGATTTCAAATGTCTATAAAAACACTGTCAACATAACATTTTAGAAACCTTCCAGTGTAGAATATTGCGAATTGAAAAATATCAATAGCTGTTGTTGTTTCCTGCAATTCCTCAGCATGCCACTACTTCTATGTTGCCCACATTGCTTTAACATATGCAAACTTAATATGCTTTCGAAAACTACGGGTTCCAGGAAGCTATTCGTAGTATCACGTGACACAGGCATATAAAGACGTTCTTACACTTGCAATCCTCAAACAAACACAGGTAAAATCTGCTGTCGTTAGATTACTATTTTTGGTACTTTGTGAAGTACACTTAATACTGATGTAAGCCTTCTAGAACACCAACTACAGAAACATGGAATTACAAGGTAATACTGGGTGTTCACAGGTACATCTCGAAATGTAATTACATATTTCGAGCAAAATACAACAGTGCAACTACATTCTGGACGCCAATAACACTTTCATCACAAAATATTGCCTATGATATTTAATAGGATAAGATTTTCAATTCAACATTATTAAATATCATACACCAGTAATAAGTTACATTTCATCTAGATTACTAACATTTTGCATGCTAATTTCCTACACTCTAAAGCTAAACTCATCCTCATATTTCCTCCCTAACAATTTTCTAATTCTACATTACACACTAATGTTGTTCTTGCATTTAATTTTTAAAAAATCATAGCACTCAATAACATTAGAATCATTTGCTGTCATCAAAAGGTGCAAATTTAATAAATGACTCAATAATAGAGTTGAGCTTTTTGAGTTTAAACACTTTTTTTATTTATTGATAGTCGTATTGACATCTGAGGTCATTAAATCTTGTAAAACATTTATTTCTCAAAATAAGCATTTTATTAAATTTAAAACAACAGTACTTCATGAAATTATTGGATTGTAATCCATTTGAATAGTGAATTCTAAAATAATGTTATTTAACTTTCTTAATTTATTTCTATCTTTCAAAAAACGTTTAATTTATTTAATACACTAAATAAATAAAGTCAAATGCATCAAAATTGAAAACAAAAAATCCAATTTTCGATATCAATCTACTCAGAATTTGGGTAAATGCATGTATAGTAAAAATCTTAGTCAAATTGTTTATAGAAACAAAAACACAATTTGAAGCCACATTATGTCTTCACGTGTGGTCGTGTATTAGCGAACCACTGGAGAGGTGTTTCAGCCGTTTGCGCGTGCGCGTGCGTGTACAGAGTGCGGGCGTCGCGCGCCGGCCGCCGGAGCGCAGGGCCTCACCAGTGGATGAGCACGTTGCCGCCGCGCAGGCGCGCCGCGTGGATGAAGTCGTTGCACAGCGGGAAGTACTGCGTCAGGTTCTGCTCCGGGGTGTCCGAGGCCAGAACGCAAAGGTAGTGCTTGTCCTGCGACACACAACAGCCGGCGCTGCTCGTCTCTCGCTCTCTCTTTCCTCTTCCCCTCCTCCTCATCCTCTCCCCGTTCTCTCCGCGCTTCGGAGAGGCGGAACGCGCCGAGAATGACACGTAGGGATCAAATTGTGTGGTTTTATTGTCATACTAAATTCAAAATTTTGTTACTGCACACATTGTTTAGAAAAAATAAGTCCATGCTGCTTCAGTTTTAGAAAAATAATTGTAAAATGTGTTATGTATACAAACAACTGCTTAATGACAAACATATTATAGTATTCTTACCTGAAAAAATTAAAATATTTTTCCTCTGTTACCCTGGGCCTTCAAAACGTGAAAAACATAAATCAATCTCATGTGATTTCATAAACTACATTTTAAGTTAAGTGTCCGAATGTTAAGGGCAAATTTGGCAACTACAAAAATATATACAGTTTGCCAAGTAATATAAAAAATTAATATTTTTAAAATCTAAAAAATATTTACTGGTTAATTTAATCGATATTGAATATTATGAACAATATTTTTTAAGCATTGGTTACTTTCTTTTACTGAAATTGAATTTCTTGAGGAAAAATGAATTTTCCTGAACTACGGATCCTAATTTGCTGTAAATTACTCTAGATTAATAATGTTTCATTTTTGTCTTTAAAAATTAGGGCATTCAATATTTCTTAAACTAAATAGTTTACACTTACTCTATGCATAATCTCTAAAATTCTTTTTAAATTCAGGGATAACTTGGGCGTTAAAAATAGTTAAAAACAGTGGATTATGAAATCTCTCATTACTGTTTTATCAGACTGTGTGTCATTTGAATTAAAGAACTAACACATAAAACCTGCATGCAAATGCCGTTAAATTTTTCATAATTTGATTATACATCCCCTTTTGATCATTGCAAATGAAAGAATGTTTATATGGCAAGGCTAAACAAATAACAATAATGAATTAGTCTATTTAGAAATACAAAGATAACGAGACAAATGTTATTGATGGTGTCATAAGGCGTAATACGATGGAATACAATTATTGAATGAAATTCGTAAAATATGTTCCAGTTATAAAGGAAACTTTTTGCATTTTATCTCCTGAAGCTTTAAATGTAGTACTAAGAACATTTGTCAATTTTTATCTATTAAACGTGTTTAAACAATTAAACGTTTTTAAGAGGGAAATTTCTGCGACATCGTGGTACGTTAATAAAGAGAAATGTCTGTTTGGGATATTGTATCTAATCAGTTTTTTAAATTAATTCACATTATACTAGTTAGATAGATAAGAAAAGAAATATAACATGGTTTAGGCTTTTTAATGCATAAAGGCTTTCAAAGACCGGCGCGGAAGATCAGTAGCGGGTGCGGCGCGGAAAATTTCCGCACTAGACGCGGGACGAAATGTATGTATGTAAATACCGGAATATACGCTATTATGTACACAACAAAACATCATGCAAATACAATTACAGTTATTACAACACATATCTTACATTGAAACGTAATTACACAATGACACATAGTTTCTATACTACATTCAATTGCGTGCTAGACATACAAAAGTGCATGCAGTCTTCTATTTTTACAACATTCTCCACTTGGAAATAAACTAATTGAATAATATATATATATATATATATATATATATATATATATATATATATATATTCGTTGTAAAGAAAAACAATAGCATAATGGCACAGAATCGTATGATCATCATATCCAGTTGTAAGTAGACTATGTGCGTCAAAGTGGGTTGAGAGTAACCTAAATTGACTGTGATATACTATTTCACATCACACATTCCAAATCACAAATAATGATACAAAAATACAAAGTGAACAATCTTGACATCTACGCAAACCCACAAATACGAAATCTATTCCTTACGGCTCCCTTAAATATTCGTTTTGCATTGACATCATTACAGAATGATGTCCATTAAATGTGAACTTTCTCCGTCTCTTACATCTCTCGAACGATCCTGCCCTAAAATTGTCATCGGAAACGATTTTTAACAAGCTTTGCGCAGAGAAAATTTGCCTCCGCTGCTCGCGGCCGCCGAAATCACATCCGACGGGCGCGGCGCCCCCAGCGCTGACGCGCGCGCGCCACCCGAGCAGCGAGCGAACGAGCCAAGCCAGCGCGGAGGGAGTGCGCCCATGGTTGCAGGGGTAGTCTGATACGGCTGCAGCTGGAGCACTCTTCGCGGTGGCTGAGCGGCCAGGGAGGGGCCTGAGGGAAGGGGGCCGGAAACGGGCTAGGCGCGGGCGGAAGAGGGGCTGAGAACAGGAGCGAAAGGTTGTACTACGTGGCGTGGCAGGAATAGTGGGTTTGTGCGGAACAGCTGAATGCCGGTTAGGGCGGGGCGAAGAGGGTGCGGACTAGCGGGTGATGTCAAAGTGTAGTGCGGCGCACCGGAAGAGAGGCGGATCAGGGTAGGGCGGGGCGAAGAGGGCGGACAGCGGTTGGCGGTAGGAGGGGGGCGGAAGAGGGTAGCACGGCGTGACAGCGTGGGCACTAGGGCGGGGCGAAGAGGGCGGACAGCGGTAGGCGGCGGCCGGAAGAGCGGGCGGACAGGTAGGGCGGGCGGAAAGGCGGTGGCCGGACGCGAGCATGCCAAGAGTTCTTCAGGGTAGGCGGGGCAGAACATAGAAAGGGCGCGACAGTCGGCAGAGGTAGGCCGGGGCGGAAGAGAGAAGCGCGGTCAGAGTCCTGGTAGGCGGGCGGTGAAAGTAAGGGGTACCCTGGCCGGCGACAGTTCCGGTAGTGGCGGGGCGAAGAGATACGGCGGAAAGGGTAGTAGCACTCGAGCGAAAGCTATATCAGGACGAACCAACAGGGCGGCGTGCCAGAAGGCATGACTGTTTCAGAGATTTAAAATATTTGATGGCTGGTACGGGAGAGCGAGATTCGGGGAGCCGCGCGGAACGGGCCGAGGACGCGCGTGACGGCGCGGTCCAAGAGTGCATCGGATTTGCCGGACGGAGAGAACAGGTCGGGACGCGCGTCAGGCACGGGGCTAGGTTTGTATCGGAAGACAGAGGATCGTGACGGCCGATCTGGACTTGGTGGCTGGGACGGTGGAGGGTATTCGTCAAGACTGACGAAGTCAAGAACGGGAGAGCGGGTTCATTTCCGGAGCGATGGTACTGGGGCGGGGACGGTTTGGTAACACACGTAAACGGTGGCGTGATGATCCGAGCGGGACGGGGCGATCGGAAGAAACGGGCAGTATCTGGGCGGACGGTAGAGCAGACGATGAGCGCGGACTGGTGGCGAGAACTGAGGGGCGGGACGGGGCGGGGACGGCGGACAGGGAGCGGAAGTGCAAGGGGACAGGGCGAGCGAACCGGGGGCGGTAAACTGGCCGGCGGAAGACGGGCGGAACGGGGCGTGACGTGCGGCGGGACGGGGCGGGAGCGGCGGGAAATATCGTGGTGATTCCGGGCCACGAGACGGAGACGGGGCTGGGATAATACATTGACGTGAGTTGACGAGACAGGGAACGGAGCGGAAATTGAAAATGCAGACTTAAATTTATTCGGGAAATCTATGGCAGACGAGGACTGAGAACGGAGATCGAGACAACGGGAGATCACGGAGGGACGGGGCTGGAAAGGTGTAATGGCGGCACGGGGACGACGGGCGAGAACTGTGCTGGGACGGGGCGGACGAGGCGGACGGATACAATATCGCGGACGTTGAGAACGGGACGAGGATTGCAGGCGAACGAGACTGGCGGGACGTGAGCGGGACGGGGCTTACGAGTGGTCACGAGGACGGAGACTGTACGGTGGCGGGACGGTAGGACAGAGGGACGAGTGTGCGTGCGAGGAGGAGCTGGATATCGGGCGGGATCGCCAGCAGACACGGCGCAAGGGCACATACCTCAATGGCGAGCGAGGGGGATGGCAAGAGGGAATGGTAGGCGTTTGGTGGATAGCGAAACGATGGGAGAAGCATAGCACGAAGAGAGAGCGGACAATACAAAGCAAGATAAGAAAAAAAGACGAAGGAGCAGGGTAGAGTAGGCAAATAGGACTGTCGAGTGACGAAAAGAGAAGAGCCCGGCGGTAAAACATGTAGATCAGAAGAAGTGAAATAGAGCGGCAGATGGAAGCTGTGGTTGGAGACAAGGGAGACAAGAGAGGTACAGCTGAGTTCGATGAGGGCAGTGAAGGAAGCCAAGAGGGCAAAGAAGAGGTCGCCGAAGGGCACGACGAGGAAGCTGAAGTGCACGAAAGTCGCCGGAGTTGCAGATAGGATATGAAACTGTGTGCCGCAAGTTATTTTTGGTTGGGTAGATGAGTAAATGTTCAAGTGTGAAGGGAGGAAAGGATAAAAAAGTATGGTATAGCGAGAAAAGCTGTAAGAGTAATTGACGGCGAGAGATGACATCACTGGGCAGGACATGTGGAGTTGGAGAGACCAAGAGAATACGTGCATTGTATGAAAAGAAGAACAGAGCGACCGCGAGGGAAGCGCAGTGGGGAAAGGCGCTGCAGAAGCTAGGGGCGCGGCGAGCCTATCAGGCCCGAACATTCGCGCTGCCGCACAGCCCGAGTAAGACCAGCTGCTCCCGCCACAACGGACAGTCATGACGGCGGGCCTCGACCTCTGCGCCTAACAGCGGA